CTCTTGGACACCTCCGTATCGGTAATATTAAGGCCAGAAAGTTATCACAGCAATAGTTTGCAACATTATCTGTGTTCCCAAGATGCTCCCTATTAAATGTCATCATTGTATGTTGTAAGAGAAACAGAAATCTAGGAAGAAATAAATGAACAAGTATCACAGATCTGCATAAGTGAATAAAACCACAGCTCTCCTTAGATCACTTCTGTGTCAATTCAAATTCTTTCTTGAGTTCGTATATACTGTGAAGTGCTTTTTGTGGTGAACCTAAGCCCTCTCATACTGGGCCTAACCTTCCTTTTGAACAGTTGCCATCTCTCCTGCTGCTCAAAATTGATCTTTGAGATGTTCATCAAGAATCTCCTACTTTGATGGCTCAGTGGCTAAGAGCAGCAGCTGCTCTTCTAGAAGACATGGCTTTAACTCTAGCACCTACATGGCAGCTCACAATCATCTGTAGCTCCATTTCAAAGGATCTAATGCCCTTCCTCAGGCACCAGGCACATATATGATGGGCAGACATGCATGGAGGCAAAACAGATCAGGGCCCTTTTAAAGGGGAACATAGTGACTATGCACAGGTGGTGTTCTTAGTGGCTACAGCTGAGGGCATATCCTGTCAGAACCCCAAGGACAGTCCAGTACAGATGCCTGAATACTAACAGAATGGACAAATAAAATATGATTTTTTTCTCCACAATGGAGTAGTATTCAGTCATCTGCCATATATAATGAAATAATTCAGAAAGACAAATACTGTACCTCTTCATATGTGGACTCTAGATCTAAAAATAAAAATACATGAAAGTAGAACAGGACTATTGGAGAAAGGTGACAAGAGAGAGTATAAAGGACTGAATATAATTGAAATGCCCTGTATACATCAATGAAAATGTTATAATGAATTATGTTATTTTGTGCATTTAATATCAACTAATTTTAAATTTTAATGTATTTAATTAACAACAAAATAAAAGAAAATGGAGGCTTAAAGGGAAACATCTCAAATCAAGTTATGGGATCACTATAAATCTGATAATAATAAAGACATTACAAAGTAATGTATATGGACATAAAATTCTCAGCATATTAATGAGCAAATAAAATTCAGAAGTAGGTAAAAAGAATAATGTATTAGGAGTACATAAAGAGACTGATTAATAAGATTACAAGATAATTTGTCATTTAAAATAACTCAAGATAATTCCACATATTAAGATGAGAAAAATCATATGTCTTATTCAATGACACAGAAACAAAAATGTAAATTCAGCACACAGCAGCATGGCCCTTCACAAGCATGAAGATGAGCCTGCAGATAACAAATGCTGCAAACGTGGTACATGATGGTAAAAGGTTGAAAACCTTCCCCTAAAAATGGGGGTTTTGTTTCTTTCTTCATTACTTAACATTATTACCACTCCTATTGACCACTGTGCTGAAGGTCCTAATGATGTAAACAGGACAATGAGAGTACAGATTGTAAAGATAGAAGAAGTTATGTGCACACATGCCAGGGTTGTACAAATGCCTGAGGTATATACTGGTAAGTGAGGTTAGCGGAGAAAGTCTTCAATCTACAGAGTTTTTACAAACCTCTTCTATATCTGATATGTCCATGTGAGACTTCTTAATAACGCACAAAATAGAATCTTTCTTTAAAGTTTAATTCTCTCAATACATCTTTGAAAATTTTTGCTGGCACACCAGAGAGGTGGGAAATGCGATTTCATGTTTTATGAATTCTATGCCAGCAAAAGGGAAACTTCTAAATTCTCCTCATGCCTTATACTGAAAACACATAGCTTGGTTCCTGTTGAAAGAACAGTATTAGTTAAAAGTTCCAGAGGCATTTTACAGACAAGGCAAAACAAGTAAGTTTGTGTTCAAGATGCATTAAGCTGATTGCTAATAGAGTTCATGATTAGAATACCAATGTAAGACATTACCATTATGATCACATAACTGCAAGTTTTGAGTTTATGTTCCTTCCATTAACTTTTAATGTTTGACAAAGAAACACTAAGACACACTAAGACATACTTAAGAGATTATTATGGATATATAGCATATAGTCCACTTGCCTCCATTGAATAGGCACAACCCCCTTTCTCTTGGGTAACGGAACTCTTTCAACTATGGTAGAATACAATAAAATGAGTACTTTGGTATGAGAATTTTTAAATAAAGGATCCAAATTTTAAAATTTCTGGCATGGAGATGTAGCTCAGTAGTAAAACACTCCATCCACAAACACACACACACACACACACACACACACACACACTGCTGTTCTAGTAGAGCAGTCAATGTTCTTAACAAATTATCCATCTGTCCAGCACTCCTCACACACCAACCACCATTGTGTTCATTCATTTCCTTTCAAAACAGATCAGTTACTGAAAACTATTACAAATAATGGTCCTTACCAAATCAGGCTAATGCTTCTGTCAGGGAAAATAATATCTTTATCTTTTATTCTAATTTAACATTAGAATTTGTCAAAAAGGAGAAAATAGTCATAGATGGAGGCACTAATCAACATGGATTTTAGTAATATCAAGTTCTAAAGTGCATCCATTATTTTGGCATTTTTAAATCCTTAGCAAGAACAATACATGGGTTAACACAAAAGTAAATGTCTGTAAGATTTAAAAGTCGGCACAACACAAGTACGAGGAAGTAAAAGAGAGTGTTGTCTCTAGAAGAGATATTGACCTTAGCAGGAAAAAAGACTTCAGAACCTTCCTATTACTAGAGAAATGATTGATGAGACTGGAGTAAATTACTTCGTGAGGAACCTTGAGTCAAAAGTGGTCTGCGAGACTACTCCTGGGACCAAGGCTACTTGCCAAAGAGCTCTTGAGTCTTTTCCCCTCAGCAACATTTAAGACATTGGGGCTCTTGAGGATAGAGTAAGGAGAGCCCAGCAATCAGCACAACAGAAGCAGGCAACTTGGGGAATTATACTAAACCCCCAGACTCCATACGTGAGGAAGAGGGAAGGATGTGTTCTGGACGATAGGCTGTACACGGGTCACTGTAGCGTGGACAGCAGAAGATGCGGCAGGAACCTTTAACTGGGAGCCTCTTCACACCCTCCTGAAGGGGTAAGTGAGCCAGGGAAGGGCTGCAAGTTCAGAGGTGAAAGGACAGAGTCCCAGCCCTATAGTTCAATCCTGATCTCTGAGTGAGAGGTGAGGTGATAGAGTCTCTATCCTGTAGTTCTATCCTAGTCTCTTGACTACAACTCTCATCTCTGGCTTCCATACTTGATTTTTTTTCTTTTTAAAATTCATCATCTTCAATATTTTCCTCCTCTCAGATCTTCACTTACGTAAGATTTGGATCTGTTATCAGGAAAGAAGAGATAAATGAGGCAGAAATCTAAGCTGATCAGTGATGATAGACCAGGAGACTTTAAGTAATAGTCTATATCCATTTTCCCAGAAAAAATAGCAATAAACTCCAAAGACTGTTTTATTGTGTTTGATAAAATGTATATAATGTCAAAGACAAGAATAAAAAATATCTGGTATTTCATGTAAATCCTGGGTGAATTCTCAAGAACATAATTTGAAAAGTTGATTTCCATGTAGTCATAGTGTCATTGTTTTACACTGATATGCTATCCATGACCTTTTAACCACTTCATTAGGACACAAAACAAAAATGACAGGACATAAATATTTAGAAAGAAGAAAATACTGTTTATGTAACTTTTTGTTCTATCTGGAAAAAGATGTTTAACAAATAATACCAATGAGAAACTGTAGAAATTAGTAATACTTTAAAAAGTGGATGATATAAAAGACAAAAAATAAAACTGCAATGTGGAAAATAACAATTATAAGGTACTTTTAATGAGCAGTAATTGTTTATGTGATGCAATATAAAATTCTAAAAATCACAAAACTTTAAAAAAAAGAGCACTAAACGGGTTGGGCATGGCGGCACAATGCTGTAATCCCATCACTTGGGAGGTGGAGGATCAGGAGTTTAAAGTTATCTTTGGATACAGAGCTAGTTTGAGGCCAGCTTGGGTTACATAAGACTCTATCTCAAAAAGTAAACAAAAGAATACGAAATAGAAACAGCTCAAGCTTATTAAAGTTAATGAGCACAAGAATAACAAAAATAAGGGTCAACTGTGAGCCCCCTGATATAAGTGAGTGCTGTGAACCAAACACCAGTCCTTAGGAGAGCAGCACGAACTCTTAGTTATAGAGCTATCTCTCTAGTGTAAACAGACGTTTCTCTCCTGCCTACCAGTTAGCACATAACCAACTCAGGGACTGAATATGAATTATAAATGCTTAGCCTGTGGCTCAGGCTTGTTACTAGCTAACTCTTTCAGTTAAATTAAGCCATATTTCTTATCTGTGCTTTTCCACTTGACTTGGTACCTTTTCTCAGTCCAGTGTGCCCATGTTGTTTCTCTGCATCTGCTGGCAACTCTCTGATTCTGCCCTCCTTGTCCCAGAATTCTCCTGGTTTGGCTTTCCCACCTAATGTTATCCTGACTGGCTACAGGCTAGTCAGCCTCTTTATTAAACCAATCATAGCAACATATATTCACACAGTGTAAAGGAATATTTCACAGCACTCTAGCTGCCCAGTACAAAATTTTAATGAGCATTTTTAAAGATATAAATAAAGTAAAAATGATACATGTTTGTGAATGAAAAGATGTAAGTCAAAAGTTCCTCTTTTTCCAAAAATGTATCCACATGTAACCCCCCAAAACACAGTGCTGTTTTAAGAGTCAACACAGAAATTTTTAAGTTAATCTAAGAAATTAATTCATAAATCGAAATCAAAATTAAAGAGAATAGCCAAAAACAGTAGATTCTAAGAATAGAATTGTACTCTGTATGTATACATGCATGCAAATGGGAGTATCTATGTGTGTTACAGAGAAGTGCCATAGAGTGATGACTCACCATATGATAAAAGATGCATAATAATCACTTGAACTTGATTAGAGAACTGAACCCATGCTTAACTATTCATAATCAGTTTGTTTACATACCCCTCATTAATAGCAAAATCAATTCCATGTAAATTAGTTTTGCTACAAACCAAAAAGTTAGTCATTAAAAATTAATATTCATTCAGAAACAAGTGTTGGTTTAAAAACTGAGGAAAGAATAATATTCTACGATCGTTTTTTGCTTGGATAATGGAATATAAACATAAGTGTTTTAAAGCTTATATATAGCAAATTAAGTGAATATTTCACAGCATGTAAAAACCAGCAAAGAGAAATTGGGGAGTTGGGGTTCTTTTGAACCTATCTGGATTTTTTTAAGGAACTTACTGAGAATTCACCACATTATTGGTGGGAACTATTCTGTCTCCTTCAGTCTAGATAACCACAGTCTTTTTCTGTTTCCCCTTAATCCACAGGCAGATGCTGAGAACAAGACATCCCATGATATGGGTACCACTCTGCAGGCAACCAACAGCTCAGAGTCCCAAGTGTCTGAGTTCATCCTGCTCGGATTTCCAGGCATTCATGAGTGGCAGCACTGGTTCTCCTTGCCCATGGCTCTGCTTTACCTTGTAGCTCTCAGTGCTAATCTCCTCATCTTGATCACCATTTACAGGGAGCCTGGCCTGCATCAGCCAATGTATCAGTTCCTTGGTATCTTAGCTACAATAGATATTGGCTTGGCTACCACCAGTATGCCCAAGATCCTGGCCATCCTGTGGTTTGATGCCAAGGCTATCAGCCTCCCTGAGTGTTTTGCTCAGATCTATGCTATCCATTCTTTTATGTGCATGGAGTCAGGCATCTTTCTATGCATGGCAGTGGACAGATATGTAGCCATATGTTATCCCCTTCAGTATCTTTCAATAGTCACTGAAGCTTTTGTAACCAAAGCCACACTGTCCATGTTTCTGAGGAATGGCCTGTTAACCATTCCTGTGCCTGTACTAGCTTCCCAGAGACAATACTGCTCCAGGAATGAAATTGATCACTGCCTGTGCTCTAACTTGGGGGTCACTAGTCTAGCCTGTGATGATATCACTGTCAACAAGTTCTACCAGTTGGCTTTGGCCTGGCTTGTGGTTGGAAGTGACATGATTCTGGTCTTTGCTTCCTATGCTTTGATTATTTGCTCAGTACTGAGGCTGAATTCCACTGAAGCAATAACTAAGGCCCTCACCACCTGCAGCTCCCACCTCATCCTCATTCTGTTTTATTACACAGCTATTATTCTAGTATCTGTCACTCACTTGGCAGGAAGAAAGGTTCCCCTCATCCCTGTTCTCCTCAACGTGCTGCATATTGTCATCCCCCCATCACTTAATCCTATGGTATATGCACTTAGGACACAGGAGCTGAGGGTGGGCTTCCAGAAGGTGTTCAACTTGAATCAGTTTATGTCTAGAAAGTAAACTGACTATATATGACAGAATAATAAATGCATCATTGCAAAAAGAGAGAGAGAGAGCACAGACTTTGAACCCAAAATACCTTGTTAAGATTCCATCTCTGCCATTTTCCAGGGGCATCGACTCAAACTCAGTTACTTTGGATAGTACATTGCATTTACAAAGCACTGCTGCAAGCTTTTTATAATGTCAATTCTCACTTCCTGAGACATCCTATCATGGGTATATAGTATTTTGTAAGTTCTGAAGATGTGGACAATGAATAGGGAAACAATACCAAGGTAGCTTAGAATGTTACTACATGAGATTTGAGTCCAGATAGTCTCTGGAGTCTCTGTTCTTAATTCTTTCTCTCCATCCACCTCATTTATAATTTTGGAAGAGGAAGATAAGTTAGTTAAAACTACATATTACTCATTTTTAGTAAAAGTCCATTTAGACCATGAGAGTAGAGATGAACAGTGGCAATAAACTATATATATTTCTACAACCAGCAGAAAGAGGAAGATGGGAGCCAGGAGAGATGACTCAACAGTTAAAAGCACTTGTTGCTCTTGTAGGGAACTAGATTTTGATTCCCAGCACCCACATAGTGGCTCACAACTGTCTTTAACTCCAGTCCCAGGAGATCTGATCCTCTTTTCTGGTTTCCTCAGGCATACATTTGGTACTCAGAAATACAGACAAAAAAACTCATATAGAAAACATAATAAAATAAATTAATCTACAATATTTTTTGGAAAAAAAGGGGAAGATGTCCATGACTATAATTTGACTGTGGAACAATTCAAGTATCCTCCAGTCAATCAGGAGTGTGGACATTCAGATCATATGACTGACGTACAATTATATGCACTGGTAGATACTTTTGTGGAAGCAACTGAAGAGAATACAACAGCCATGTCTAATCACATGACAAAACTGAGACCAAGAAACCCTTCCCAACAGCAAAATAAAATCTCAAGGAAATTATCACTGTCCATGAACCCTCACAAAACAAAAACCAAAGCAATATCATATTCCACAAGGCAAGTCTATAATGAAGAGAAACCAGAGGTTTGTTTTTTTCTTTTTAATTTTTATTTTATTCTTCTCTCATGCAAACATCCCAATTGCATCCTACTCACCCTCCACTCCTTCAAGTCCCCACCCAACTCCCCTATTTTCTCCCTCAGATCCACAGCTCCTCTATTTCCTTCAGTAAACAGCAGAGCGCAGAAGATTTTTATGATTGTTCACATTTAAGATAGAAAAACATTCCTGTGAAAAACTTATTTGTCTCTTTGTTTTATGAAGATGAAATGGTCCCATTTCTATAGTGTCTTTTGCCAAGTATACCCATACAGAACAAAAATTTAAAGAGTAAAGTTTAGAAATGTGAAGATATGGACATAGCCACAGTCTCTGGTCCCCAGACAATGGGTTCTTCCATTCTTGAGGAAAACAAAGGAGTCAGCAGCAATTTTCCTATCTAGTGAAAAATACAGTAATTTTTAAATCTGCTACAAGAAGTCACTCTAGATAACTTTTTTAGAATGGGTTTGACAGGGGTTACTTTTTCAGTTCACAAATTCTTGAATTAATTTGCCTTGGAGCTCTGCAAAAAAATAAAGCAAAAATATTAAAAAATAAACCATTCAAATTGACTCACACTTCTCTAGTGAAACATAAAAATTCTTATGCAGTTCACTGGCAATATAAAGAATATCAGAGACTCTAAAGCAGAATCACACCATAAGAAAAGGGATGTCAGAGTAGAACAGAGAATGTATAGAGCAAATTTGGTTATCACCTATTTAAATGTCCAATTATGGATTAAAAAGATGACATATTGGCTTGAGACAATGTGTGTACATTAGGACATTTTCCTGACACAGTAGCATGACATTGTGATAGACTTTGGGAAAAGACTAACTGTCAGTAAATTTGGAAACCTAAGTTTGAAACTTTAGACTGTTGGCTCCCAAGCAGTTAAATCGTCTTCCCTTTGGTAGAGTCAATTAGATGACATGGACATCCTCCTGTAGATAGAGCAAAATTTGACCCCATGTGTTTATCTGACATTCTTCAGGCATACTATGTTGGTCGCATTCCATCTTTGTGACAAAATATTTGAGAAAAAAACTCAGAGAAAAAAATGGACATTATGTTTCAGGCCATGCCCAGCTAACGCCATTACTTTTATGTCTGTGTCAAGACTAAGTATTCAGAGTATAGAAGCATGCGTAATAAAGTTGATCATTTCACGGAAGTCAAAAACTACAGAGAGAGTAAGAAAGGTTTATGAAAAAGAGCCTTCAAATCCATGCTTCTAGTAACCTACATGAACTAACTAAGCGACACTTCCTAAGATCATGTGTACCTACGAACTCATCAATGGATTAATTTCTTGATGATGTTAGTGCTTTCATAATCCAGTTGTATCCCCCAATATTTCTAGTAGTGAGGGACAATGCCTTCAACTTTGGGTAAGAACCTTCATATTTTATTTTTTTTATATTTTATTTTCCAGTTTAAATTTAGATAAGAAACGAGGTTGCTTCACAAGTCAGTTCCAGGTCCCTCTCCTATTCCCTCCCCTCCTCCCGTGCCCTCCCCCCAACCCCCCCCGTTATCCCCTCATTCCCCCAGGGAGGGTGAGGCCCTCCATGGGGGTGTCCATAGTCTGTCATTTCATATAGGGCAGGGCCTAGACCCTTCCCCAAGAGTTCAGGGTGAGAGTGCACCTCACATTGTTCTATGGGAGTCCAAAGTCCATGTGTATACTTGGGATGGGTGCTAATCTGCTGCCCAAGGCTCAATAGATTCCCTAGGCCTCCTCACTGACACCCAGATTTAGGGGGGTCTTGATCAGTCCCATGCTGGATTCCCAGGCTGATGCCTGGGATTCAAGAGTTAACCTTTGTCTGGTCAGCTGTTTCTGGGGGTTAAACCAGCCCAGTCTTAATCCCTTTGATCATCAGTCCTCCCTCTCTGTTACTGGCTTTCTTGAGTTCAGCTCAGTACTTAACCAAGAGAGTCTGCCTCTTCTTCGATCAGCCACTAAATGAAGTTTCTTTTTCCCAGACTCTCTGGCCATAGGATTGTAGGCTGGCATGAACCTTCATATTTTAACTTTAACATTCTACCTCTTGATATCTTGTCCAGCTTCTAATAAAAATGCATAAAGTTCTATGGTTTCCATAAGTGTCTATTTCAACATTTCTCAAAAGTTCAAATTCCACTTTGAAACTCAAGACACACTCTTACCATGAGTTTCCTGCCCAGGCAAAAAGATCAAAAATGTACTCACTTCCAAAATATAATGATATAGAACTAACATTCTCATTCCCCAAAAGGAAAACAGGAGGGACATGGGAACAAAAACAAATAGTAGCTCAGCAAGATCAAAATCCAGAACAAGCATGAACTTGCAAGTCCATGTTCATCATCAATGGCACATGATGCTGTGATGTATGCTCCAAAGGACTGAGACAGCTCCATTCATATGATTCCCCTTGGTATAGTCAAACTGGAATGTCTCTTGGGCTAGCTCTGCTTACTGGGGAACTTTCTTAATTCAGCAGATCTTCCTGGCTCCTGGCATCTCTAACTACAAGAGCTCTTCATTCTAGCTCTAATTTTACTTACATAGTTGTGTTCATTGTCTTTTGAGGCCCTACCTATAAGGATTCTGGCCATTCCATACACTGCCTGGACTCTCAGGCCTTTAAGTATCTGCACGACTCCACAATTTTTACATTCTGAAGTCTTACAAAACAAACATAGCATGTCTAATAGTAAAATGCCAACCTAGTAGATAACGATGAAGCACAGCAGAAAGATCTAGGCAGCTCTGTCCTACCACACATAACCCTCACATTAATAATGAGTGATAATGGTCCTAAAATGTTGGAGATTGAACAGGTAGACAGGACATGGACTTACAATGCTATAAATTGTCATTCCTTATGAGGAATGATGCTTGAAAATAAATCAAGCCATTACCACCCTCCATCACTCCCCTACAAGTTGCATCAAAGACATACAGTCACATCCCACGATAATCTAATAGAAATGACGACAACTGCACACCCAATGGCTAGATGAGGTTGGCAGAACTTTAAATAGGTTTCTTCCCACCTATAAGCCTTAACCTCCCTTTCTCATAGCATTTGTTTCATAAATTTGTTATTGTAAATGCTTTTATGTGAAACTTACCTAAATCTTATCCTGAAATATCATCTACTTTACAATCATGCCATGCCTTTCCCAAAGACCTGGAGAATATTTCCTGAAGTGTAGGTATTGAAGAGGATAGCAGCCCAAGTCTCAGTGTCTCTAGGTGCTTAGAAGATGGACTTCAACAGGCATCACTTAACATATGTCAATGGCCTATCCTCAGAGAAAACCATTTATAACTCAGGAATAGCTCAATGTGTGCACGAATACCATCAATCAAACTTTCCACCAAAGTCCTCAAAGGGTTTCACACTATCTCACCCCAGTTCATAGATTCAATCACACCACTCCCAAAGTTCGTGCCCATTTTTGTTCTAGCAAAACAAAATTTCCAGGCTTGGTCTCTGCTCTCTCCCATGATAGCAGCAGCACTGAGGGAAGGAAAAGTAAAATCCTGCTTGCATGATATGCCCTGTGCAATCTTTCCTTAGCACTGAAAACAATCAGGTTTTTTTTCTTAGTAACATCTACACAGATGAGAGGCATTAATATTAACAGCTCACATCCATAGAGATTAGTATGTATTCATTCAACAATTCACATCAGAAACACTGTCAAACTGAACTTCTTTTTACCAACTTCTCCATTGTCCCTACAGGGTTAGGAAATGCAGAAATACCCCCAGATAAGTGGCTGTCACTTAGAATATCTGAATTGACTACTTCCCTGTCACTGTCAGTATCCTTTTACAAGGAAACACTTCTCAAATTATTCTAATTTAAGCCATCTGCTATCTAATGAGATTCTAATACAAGACTGGTTGGATTATGAAGTTTGTAGAAAAGGTGATTTAGTGTTGTGATATGACCCTGGATGTATAGACATACACTAAAGAAATTAGGAAGTGAAAGCAATATACAAAGAACTTAGGTCAGTGAAAGGCAGACCCTAGGAATACAGAGTGAAACTAGGAAGTATGATGGGAGATCAAAGGAAAAAAATGTTTGAAATACACAT